TTAAAATATATTTAAAAAGTACCCAAACTATTTGTGGTTGTAAATATAAAAAAATCATTAAGCCAAATTAATTTATATAATTAAGAGACTAAGAATTTTAATAAATTTTAACTTTAAAATCTATAAAAAAAATTTTTTTAGAGCTAAAAATCAAAATGTTATTTTTACAATTTTTAAAATTATATGTAGACAAAATATGAAAAAATTATACAAGACCTTTTTTGTAAGAAATTTAATTTTCTTCAGAAAAAATCTTCATCATTTTTGTCAAATCTTTAATAATTATTGATAAATTTTAACTTTTAAGTCTGAGAAAATGTTTTTGCTATAAAAAAATAAATGAGTCAAAATTGAAAAAGTTACCAAAAATAAAATTTTGATAAAGTAAATTTAAAATAAATTTAGGGCTTATAAAAGATGATCGGAAAGGATAAAGCGAGTTTGGTTGTTGGCTAAATAGAAATAATGGTAACATTGATCCGGTCGTTAGCCCGAACTTTAGCATTAGCATCATAATAGTTGATTGTATATTCACCAAGTAGTATCTGTCCGGCTGACTAGCATCAACGGCAGCATAACAACTCCATACGTTATTCATACACTCACCCACTGCTATAATTAACAATGAAATATTAAACAAACCAAACCAAACTACTTATATTATTATTATTAAAACTGAGGCGTATCCGAGCATAAATAAACTGTCAATCATCTTTGTCATGTTTTGCTTAAGCTTTTACGGTCTATCTTTTCATTCTCTTCTATTTTATTTTTGTGCTGGCTATTTTTAAATTTTTACAATAGAACAAAAAAATTACACGGATTTATTAAACATGGAAGCTACTGAATAAAGCTTTAATACTGCAGCAAGTATTAAAATTTATTGCGAAAAATAGTAATAATAACAATGATGATATATATATATATTTTATTCATTTTGACGGTGATGTATTTTAATGAGATACAAAATGTGTAAGAATTTAAAATACACTCTAGATGAAATACCGGAAATAATTTAACTACATGACCTGCAGTTGAACGAAAATAACTTTTAGCCCTACACTCTTTAATTCTAATAAATTAACTCGAAAATTTTTTTTATTTATGCTATTAAAATTTATTAATAGCCATCCGGTACTATCAAAAAATTTATAATTATAATAATAATAATAATAATAATAATAATAACTAGCAACCTGCAGTCGCTATGCGACTGCCGAGATTTACGAATTATGAATAAGAAAATTTTGGATCAATGATTTTTTTATAATCACACTAATAGTTTGGGGACTTTTTAAATAAATTTTGAAAATAATAGTACTATCACAGGATCAATTACAAATAATTTAATGGACAAATGTGACCGTACAAATTTATACAATCAAAAAACTATTAAAAACTCCTCCAAAAACTTTACAAAAAAATATATAAAACCAAAAAACACTAATTCTTATCTCGACCTTTCTGATGATACCAAATTAAACTATAAAAATTTCTTCAAAAATAATAATATGCTCGTCACAATATTTTCCTTTCTCTCTCAATTATTAAAATCATAAATAACTATCGCTAAAAAATATCAAACCCAATTTACGATAAAGATCTACCCGTTACTAAATTTTTTTAAGTCTCTTAATTATATAAATTAATCTGGCTTAATGATTTTTTTATAATCACACTAATAGTTTGGGGACTTTTTAAATAAATTTAAAAAAATAATAGTGCTATTACAGGATCGATTACAAATAATGTAATGGACAAATGTGACCGAACAAATTTATAGAACCAAAAAACTATTAAAAACTCCTCCAAAAACTTGCCATAAAAAATTTACTAAAAAATATATAAAACCAAAAGGCACTAATTCTTATCTCGACCTTTCTGATGATACCAAATTAAACTATAAAAATGTATTTAAAAATAACAATATGCTCGTCACAATATTTTCCTTTCTCTCTCAATTATTAAAATCATAAATAACTATCGCTAATAAATATCAAACCTAATTTACGATAAAGATCTACCCGCTATTATATTTTTCTTAGTCTCTTAATTATATAAATTAATTTTTGACATATAATCACATTGACGTGTACAAAACAAAATAAATAAATAAACAAATTTTGCTTATCGCTAAATTCGAATCTATTTATAACTACTTCGAAAACTTATCATATGAAATAAACTATTTTAGAAAAGCATATGAAACATTGAAAAGGCACAACTTCAGGTCTCGACCTTTCCAACGATGCCAAATTTAACGATAAAAACCCATTTTATCATATAAATATACTGGCCACAAAATTTCGCTTATTCTCTCAATAATATAGATTAAATTTCCTTATAATCTTGTTATATTTTCAATACTTTACCTACAATTTGAATTTTACAATGAAAAAAAATAAAAAACTCACCATTACAGGCCTGTTTAAAGCCAGGACAGCAATCCCCATGTTTGAGACAGGAATAATGACAATAACACGGTTTCTCAGTATAATTATTACGATGATGGTGGCTGTGAAAAATAGGCGCCATCGAGGGACCGGTCACCGCACAATTTACACCATCGCTGGGACAACACCGGTTTGATTTATGACAACTGCTAGCCAAACTTGGATTTATCAAATTATTCGTGACAATTATTGATACTAAGAAGAATATTAACTCGAGCAGCCCGCTCAATCGATCCATTTTTCACCATTCAATTTTAAATCACTCAATTTAATTAAAAATATATGTTTTTTTAAATTAATTTAAAGGACCGATTTGTTGCGGTGAACGACTTCTGGATGTGCCGAAGTCGTTTGTAAGACTCGACGATTCAACAAAGTTTAACTGTGACTTCCCGGTGGATACGATCGTGTGTGTTAAGAACCCAACGCATTTTAATAGATACCCCCCACTATGTCTTGATCTTTCTTGCTGTTTAATCCCATACATATTTTAATATACATTTATAAGATACACATCTCAGATTTTTTTTATCTCTCAAGATTTTAATTATTAAAATTACTAAGCAGTTTTCTTCATCAAAAAAAAAATTTTTTTAACATATTTTATTTTATAAATAATTTTTTTTAATAAATTTTTTTTAATTCATTAAAAAAATTATTATCTATATTATTAAGAGAATCAGAAAAATTTTGTCTTCAGGATAGTCATATGGTAAAAGCGGTTTTTTTTTAGTGAAATTTAATATCATTGCGAAGGTCTTGATTTAAATGTGCCTTTTCAAGGTTTTATATAATTCTCACCGATAGTCCATTTATTATGATAAGTATTTAAGCTGCACTCGAAAATGCTATATCTCTAGATACATAATTAAGAAATGACCTTGTATCTTGTGAACTATTGAGATTTTTAAAGATACAAGCTCATCCCGATGTCACACTCATCAAGACCTTTCATTTGAGTACCCACATCATTTTTTCATATATTTATATATATTATATATATGTATATATGAAAAATATATCAAAAATGCATGTGGGTACTCAAATGAAAGCTCTTGATGAGTGTAACATCGGGATGAGCTTATATCTTTAAAAATCTCAATAGTTGAGAAATTATAGTGCAATTTAACAAATATCTTGTGAAATATTGACATTTTTAAAGATATAAGCTCACCCCGACATTACACTCGTCGAGACCTTTCATTTGGGTACCCACATCAATTTTTCATATATTTTATATATTTATATATATGTATATATGAAAAATATATGAAAATGCATGTGGGTACTCGAATGAAAGCTCTTGATGAGTGAAACATCAGGATGAGCTTATATCTTTAAATACGTCAATAGTTAAGACAGTAAAGTGCAATTTAACAAAAGTCATTATTTAATAAAGCAAAATTTTATTTATTTACAGATCACTAGTTTCAGCAGTCACATAGTGACTGCAAAGTTGCTAGTAATTTTTAAATTAAATTTAAAATAAAATTATATGTTATTAGATTAAGAAATAAAAATTTAAAATATAGTACAAAATAATTGAGTTATTAACTTAATTTAAGATAAATATTTATATAAAATATAATTTAATATCAAGAAGAAGCGTTAAGAAGAATAAAAGTAATCTTCATAGTTCCTAATACGAATTGTCAGCAGTAAATACCCGGAATAGAAACACGAGTCATCGTACATGTGTCGGAAAGTCGGGATAGATAGTAGATAGGGAGCTGGAGCCGTCAGTTGAGACCAGACGGAGATGCCAACAGAGAAAAAGCGAGGAGTGGGTGGAAGAAACGTGAGAAAGTGATTAAATACGAAGGTGCCACAGAGCACACACAAGCAGTTTCCGCGTCCTGGAACTTTATTTCTTGGACAGCCTCTGACGTACGTCGCTCGCTAAATTAAATTACTCGACGTTATTAATTAATCAACTCTTTTAGACTCTAATCAACTTCCGCTAGTTATTTTGTTGCGTCTGCATAATTATGATGTATTTTTTTAATAAAGCTCCCAATGGAAAATAACTTTTCGCTTGAGAATTTTTTACAAAAATTTTAATTTAATTTTTTTTTTAATCAATAAAATTTAAAAAACTATTTAATCAAAAATTAATTCAATTTTTATAAGAATAATAATTAAAATCCTTGAACTAAAAAAATAATTTTTTACAGTTAAAAATATTTAAAAAATCATTTAATCAAAAATTAATTCAATTTTTATATAACTAATAATAATTTATTAAAAAAAAAAAAGTCCTTGAATTTTAAAAATAATTTTTTAATATAAAAAATCATTTAATTAAAAATTAATTCAATTTTTTTTCAACTAATTTTATCTATTTATTCAAAAATAAATCCTTGAATTTTAAAAATAATTTTTTACTGTAAAAAATATTAAAAATTAAATTAATTATAAAAAAGGTTTAAATGATAAATTAATACTGTAAAATAATTTTTAAATAAATTTATTATTCATTGAATAAAAAAATGCTAACGAGATGACAAAGTCGGCATCGATAATTTTAATCAATAAAATTAAAATAAATCAGTACAATCGTTGAGGAGGTCCCATCGAAGATTTGATGTGAAGAGAGCGTACGTTCTGCCAGTGCTTCTTCAACAGAGAGACAAGGAAGTTGATCGACAAGTGAACGTTCTGAACGAGCTCATCTTCGGACATCTCAACGTGGCCGACTGCGACGGACAGACAGAGTACCTTCTTCATCTGGAACTTGATGGTAGCCTTGACTTCGTCGATTTTGCCAATCATTGATTCTTGATGAGACAAAAGCCCAGGGAATTTACCGGCTTTGTTCAAACCCGGACCCAGCAGACGTGGGATCTGCTTGATCAACGACTCACTGGCCAAGAATGCGTCGTATTTTTTAGCTAAAAAAATTAATTAATTTTCAATTAAAAAAAATGATCATAACTTTAAATCAAATTAATTAATTAATTAATATTTAAAATGTCTCAACACTGATTGCGGTACATTGTTATTTTAAACCCAACGTCCTCACCCAGTGAAGAATTTTCTCTCCTTCACATTGACAACTTAAATTATCATCAATAAAATAATCCAAGTGCTTTTAGGAAGGTGTAGTCTAATTAATTATATCAAGAAGTAATTACCGAGCTTCTTGACGAGTTTCTTGTTCTTGTTCAGTTTTTTAAGAGCCTCGGCGTCCATGAAAGGAACATTGTTAGCCTTGGCTTCGTCACAATGCTGTTGATCTCCAAGAATGCATACTTGCATTTTTGGTCTTGGGATGTTCTTCAACCTGAATTAAATTAAATAAAATCATTAATTTTTTGGAATAAATTATTAATTTATTTAATAATGCGAAATATAATTATCAGTTCATTTTTTGCATCAAGTATTCAGTTAATACATGCTTAGTTACCATCATGAGTAATATGAACATTTCTCTATATTATCAAGATCTCTGAATACATTATTAAAAAATGACCTTGTATCTTGTGAACTATTTACATTTTCAACGATATAAGCTCATCCCGATGTCACACTCATCAAGACCTTTCATTTGAGTACCCACATCAATTTTTCATATATTTCATATATTTATATATATTATATATATGTATATATGAAAAATATATCAAAATTTGCATGTGGGTACTCAAATGAAAGCTCTTGATGAGTGTAACATCAGGATGAGCTTATATCTTTAAAACCCTCAATATTTAAGAAAGTACAGTGCAATTTAACAAATTTCTTGTGAACTAATAACATTTTTAAAGATATAAGCTCATTCCGACATTACACTCATCGAGACCTTTCATTTGAGTACCCACATCAATTTTTCATATATTTATATATATGTATGTATGAGAAATATATAAAAAATGCATGTGGGTACTCAAATGAAAGCTCTTAATGAGTGTAAAATTGGGATGAGCTTATATTTTTAAAAACGTCAGTATTTAAAAAAGTACAGTGCAATTTAACAAAATTCGTTATTTAATAAAGAAAAATTTATTTTATTTATAGTTCACAAGTCACGGCAGTCACATAGTGACTGCAAGGTTGCTAGTTATTATTTTTTTTTCTCAAGTCTAAAAGTGATCCAACTTTAATATTAATTTTTAAAAATTTAGATATTTTTAAATTTCTAAATATTTCAAGTTGTATCACCAAGATTATTTTACAACGCACTAACGATCAACTACGTTCAATCGACGCCAGCTTAAATCCCAGAGACAATTAAAAATCATTCAAAAAATTAATCTCTGATATTCAAAGCTACATCTAGCCAATAATCAAGCTTGAGAAAAAATTTCTCATTCATGAATATTAGATATATTTATGGGGGCGGTAATATTACAATAAATAGTAATAAGACCTTCCCAGTTGTTTTAAGACCCTGGGTACAGGTCCGCCGAGAAAACCCAGCTTCCTGACAATACGAGTCAATCTTTTCAAGCTCAATATTTTCATAATTTGCTTTTTAGATTCTAATAATTGAAAAGATAGACTCTGTCAGGTGAATACGTACTTGACCGTGCCTGAGAAACGTTTGTCTTTCTGCGGGTCATAGTTCTTCAATCCAATTTGGAGCTCCACTGTCTCCAGAAACTTACGCTTCTTATCCTTGGAGCTCTGGAGGACTCCGTTTACGCACTCGTAAAGAGTGTCACGCGATACTTTGGACCTGAAAATTATATTTTTAATTAGTATGTTATTTATTGTTAATTTTTGAAAATTATTATTACACGTGACTATGTAATTAGATAATTTTGTTGAAATGTTTCAACACTGATTGCGGTACATTGTTATTTTAAACCCAACGTCCTCACCCAGTGAAGATTTTTACTCTTCTTCACATTGACGACTCAAATTATTATTGATTAAATAACTCAAGTGCTTTTAGGAAGATAACACTTAAATTTTAAATATTTTTTTTTATAATACTGAAGTTAGCCGACGTTTCTAATTTTTTATTTGTTAAATTGGAGCAAAAAAATATTTTTTTTAAATTGCACTGAAACTTTTTTACAAATTAAATTTTTTTTCTTAATTTTTATAATTATTTTAATAAAAAAAATTTTAAAAAGTCGGCTGAATTAATTTCCATGTATTTTTTTTTATTCATCTCAAATAATATTTTAAAATAAAGTGAGAAAAATTAATGATACTAAAATTAGCTAACATGTGACAATTTTTAATTTTTTTTTCAATAAAAATTGTACTTAGAATTATTAAAATTTTATGCATTTAAAATTAATTTTGTTTCAATAATCAGCTGATTTAATTTTGATAAAAAATTTTTGAGGTTAAAAAAATATTTTACATTAGTAACAATACTAAAAATTATTTAAAATGGAATAAATATTAAATTTAATAATTATTCAATTATATTTTTAAGAAATTAGAAATTTTTTATTAAACAAAAAAAGAAATTAGACATTTAATAAAATACCACATGGGTAAAAAAAATTTTAAGATAGTTAAATAAAAAAAATTAATAATTCTAACTCAATATTTAATAAATTGAAACAATAAAAAAATAAAATAATTAATTATAATAAATAATTTAATAAAAAATATTAAGATTGCTTAAATAATATAAGATACTTACGTCATTGTTGAAAATAACGACGACCGTTAGAAGACACGATCCAACTTTCTCGACGGTCCAAAAATGAAAGGTGGTATGAGAACCAGCGCTGGCAGAAATGGTCGCTCGCAGTCGCACAAACGTGGGAGTAGTAAATTTAGTTACTTATTTTGCTCCGCGCGGCGTGCTGAGCGCTTTTAAGGAGAAGCTTCAAGTTTGACGTTTAGATGGCGCACTATCTGAATTTTTAGAAATAATAATAATGATGACAATAATTTTATTGATACTAGAAATTGTAATTAAAAGTTCGGAGTACGAGTACGAGTCGTACTGAATCGATTTAAATTGGAGAAATAATAAAAAATAAATAAAATGAAGAGAAAGTCGAGTCATATTGAAGAAGAAGAAGAGTCTGATTCGGAAATTGATTCTGAAGAAGAGGTAAACAATCGATAATTTATTTTTATAATTATTTAATTGTTATTTCTAACCTAATCATTGTCACGTGTCTTATAGCTCCAGGATGCTTTTGCGAAAGGATTGTTGAAACCGGGTTTAAATAAAGTCATTGAGAAGACTGTGAAGAAATCAATTAATCAACCTGTAAGTTTTTTTTTATTAATCTTAATATATTTAATACAATTAAATTTAAGAAGGAGTGATTTTAAAATTAATAGACACTTGAACAATTTTTTGATTTTCATCATGAACTATTTAGAAAAAATGAATGGAAATAAATTCAGTAGATATCTAACAAGTTTCAGAATTTTTTTTTTAATAAAAAATTTATCAAAAAAAAATTCTACATTTAGAAAATTAAAAAAAAAACAAGATCCGCAATTTGTTTTAAATATTTTTTAGGCTGCATTCGAAATTACTCTATCTCTAAATACATAAATAAGAAATGACCGTGTATCTTGTGAACTATTGACATTTTTAAAGATATAAGCTCATTCCGATGTTACACTCATCAAGACCTTTCATTTGAGTACCCACATTCATTTTTATATATTTTTCATATATACATATATATAATATATATAAAATATATGTATATATGAAAAAATACTCAAATGAAAGGTCTCGATGAGTGTAACATCAACATGAGCTTATATCTTTAAAAATGTCAATAATTAAAAAAGTACAGTGCAATTTAACAAAAGGCATTATTTAATGAAGCCAAATTTTATTTATGCATAGTCAATTTATGATGATAAGTATTTAGGCTGCATTCGAAAAGGCTCTATCTCTAGATACATAATTAAGAAATGACCGTGTATCTTGTGAACTATTGACATTTTTAAAGATATAAGCTCATTCCGATGTTACACTCATCAAGACCTTTCATTTGAGTACCCACATTCATTTTTATATATTTTTCATATATACATATATATAATATATATAAATATATGTATATATGAAAAATATATCAAAATGCATGTGGGTACTCAAATAAAAGCTTTTAATGAGTATAACATCGGGATGAGCTTATATATTTAAAAATATCAATAATTAACAAAGTACAGTGCAGTTTAACAAATATCTTGTGAAATATTGACATTTTTAAGGATATAAGCTCATCCCGACATTACATTCGTCGAGACCTTTCATTTGAATACCCACATCATTTTTTCATATATTTCATATATTTACATATATGTTTATATGAAAAATATATGAAAATACATGTGGGTACTCAAATGAAAGCTCTTGATGAGTGTAACATCGGGATGAGCTTATATCTTTAAAAACGTCAATATTTAAGAAAGTACAGTGCAATTTCATAAAAGTCATTATTTAATAAAGCAAAATTTTATTTATTTATAGTTCACATGTAACGGCAATCACGTAGTGACTGCAAAGTTACTAGTATATTAACTTTTAAAAAATATCAAATGTCTACTAATTAAAAAATTACAAAAAATAATTCTTTTACACAATTATCATTTTAAAATAACTAAACATTTATTTTTAAAGTCATTAATAAATAATTTTAATAATATTGACAGGAATTGCTGAAAGAAGCATTAAATAAACTAAAATTAGACTTACCATGGATAGAAAAATTAGATGTGGTAAACGCGCCAGCACCATTAGCCCCAGAACTAGCATTACAGCAGCTCGAGCAAGAAGAGCGACGTGCGAAGCAGTTAAAAGGCAACAAAAAATTAGCGCAGTTGAAACCCACCGAGGATCCGGTTATCAATGACTTCAAGAGGGAGACAATGTTCCACAGACAGGCTCAAGCTGCAGTGATGTTCTGTATGCCTAGAATAAAGAAACTGGGGATCCCCACGATCAGGCCAGAAGATTATTACGCTGAAATGGCGAAAACTGATGAGCACATGCACAAAATCCGGACGACTTTGCAGAAAAAGGAGCAAGCAGTAGCGAGGTCTGAAAAGGTTCGCCAGCTGAGACTCCAGCGCAAGGTCGGAAAGCAGATGCAGGTAGAAGCCACGTTGAAGAAGCATGCTGAGAAGAAGCAGATGCTGGATGAGGTGAAGAAGTTCCGCAAGGGAGTTCGTAAAGATCTCAATTTCTTGGATGACAAAAAGAAACCGGGCAGTTCTAATAAGAGTCATGCTGAGAGGAGGCTCAGCAATAAGCAGAAGGTTAAAAATTCCAAGTTTGGGTTCGGTGGGAAGAAACGCGGGACTAAGATGAACGACCGAGAGAGCTCTGCTGATATGTCTGGGTACCAGAGACCTCGAAAAGATATTAAAGGCTTGAAGAGAAGGGATAAAGGTGGGAACAATAAAAGTCAGAGGCCTGGTAAAAATCGGCGGGTTCAAATGAAAAATAAAAAAAAATAAACTAATTAATGTATTTTTATAAAATAATAAATTTTTTCTATTAAGTTATTTTATAGAGTGGTTCTATCTATATAATTAAGAAATTACCTTGTATCTTGTGAACTATTGATATTTTTAAAGATATAAGCTCATCCCGATGTTACACTCATTAAAACCTTTCATTTGTGTACCCACATCAATTTTTCATATATTTTATATATTTATATATATGTATATATAAAAAATATATGAAAATGCATGTGGGTACTCAAATGAAAGCTCTTGATGAGTATAACATCGGGATGAGTTTGTATCATTAAAAACGTCAATAATTAAAATAGTACAGTACAATTTTACAAAAAATCATTATTTAATGAAACAAAATTTTATTTATTTATAGATGTTTGCAAAATGATACCAGAGTTAATCTGAAATTAGAAAAAATTTTTCGGGATTAAAATTTATCAAAAAAATAAAAACTAATTTCGACAATAAATATGTTTTTAATAGACATACATCTCGTACGAGGTTACACGATATTTTGAATACATGCCATTTAACTGTCCAGCAATCAAACACATTGTATTTCTTAATATTAATATTTCTTCATATTCTGATAATTATTTCACAAATCTGTTAATAATATTTTAATGCGGTTCTTTGAATAATTCTCTCCACAAACTTTCAAACAATGTCCGTAAACCGTCAAAACATCAATGGATGCGTTTAATCATTGCGATATAACTATATATTTATGTATATTTGTTTGTTTATTTATATATCAATCGGCTCATTTTAATATTATCATTATTGTAATGTATGGTTACTGTTAATGAATTAATCAGATTTTGACGATTACAAAAGTTACGGGTGCTTTGCTCTAATATCTGTCTTATTACCCTGGGCACCCGGTAATTATTCAATCAATCAATCATTTTTACAAATTTATTATCATTAATAATTAATCATAATCATTCATGCTCCTTTCGCCGAGCTAATATTTTTTTTCAAACAATCGAACTCAAATAAATAATTAATAAGCAAAGATAAAAAACCAAAAATATAAAATTTTTATCTCCTGTTCGGAGGACGTCAGTAATAACTTTGTCAATTATTATAATATAATTAATATTAATTTCACTTAAATCGGTTTGTACAATTATTCCAATGGAAGATAAATAAGATCACTTATATTAACAATTAATAATTTATAATTACACATTACAGAGTCTAATTAGCCATACGCGGGTTCAAGTTCCATTGAAATTAATTATTTTTTTTTTTTTAGTTTTTTTTTTAATGATTTTAACATTTTTTTGCTTTTTTAAATATTGTAACTACTAGTCGGTGACAATAGACCTCAATTATATATTATTCATTATTTATATATTTATATATATATGTATATGTATATATTTACTTGGTGTCCAGCACCAACATTCACATCCACACGTATACTATTTTAATTTTAATTATATATATAATATTTAAACATATATTAATTAAACTATATGACATATGTGTTTTAGTTTAAGTTTGTGTTTCTTCACCCGTACAACTATAATACAGTTACAGTAAATTCATCACTACATATACATATCAGAGTCGAGACATATTTATATATATTTGTTTAATTAAGGGGGGAAATATGTGTAAAACGCCGTTTTATGGTGATTTTCATTAATTTTATTTTCAAATTAATTCTTTTTTTTTAATTAATTTTATTTTTAAATTAATTCTTTTTTTTTTTAATTAATTTTTTTTAAATTTATTTTAATTTACAAGCATGTTTGGATTACACTCACATTCCATGCTTGTAAAAATGGACCACCTTAATAACTCCGCCGTCTATCTTACGGCATAAATATATATAGAAAATAGCCTAATAATTAAAAAAAATGAATAACATTAATTTTCATACCTTAAAAAAATTAATAAAAAATCAGCATGAAAACTCCCTTCTGTACATATTTCCCCCCTTAATTTAATTATTAATGGTAATTCAATCAGATATATAAACTCTTAATTCCATTATTTGTAAAAGTAAACATCTATTCAATAATTATGTGAAAATTAACAATTAATTAAATTAAATTAAATTAAATACACAGACTAATATAACACAACATATATTAATAACAACACATATAAATATCTGAAGAATATTAAAATTAGTTACTATTCTTTGGTTAAAAAATAATTGTACGCGTAATAATTGTAATAAATAATTATATAATGTTTGCGCGTTAAATTCATTGTTTTAAAATAAATTTTAGATTGTATAATTAGTGCATAAACCTCACAGAGACCGGCTCTGTGATATATCACTTGGCTCATTCGCAACAGATTCAGTATTTATTATTATTATTATTAATATTTATATTAGAGATTACACAAACGCGGACGATATGGCGGATCTTTTAGTAAAATACAAATAATTGAAATAAATAATTAAAATGTATACTTAAATATAAATGTATATATTTATATATTATTTGTTAAAATTTATCTCTCCGTCTACCGGTCAAACGATTATTCATGTAAAGCGTTTAAATAAAAAAATAAGTTCAAGGATAGACGTTTAATCCCGTGAAAAGGTTTTAGTAAATCATGAAAAAGCTGACAGTGAGATCGATAGCGTATTAACGTTCTGGAGCTTTCGATAAAATTTATCTCGCACTTTTAAGCATTTTTTTTATTTTTAATAAATATATTTTTTTTTATTGATGCATTTATTTATATATTAATATATTTATTTATTTATATAGTACGTCTTTCAGCTGATATGTCGTTTACAATATACGAGATAAACATTTTAAAACGACGTTCTGATCCGTAAAAATTAATTAAATATTCGCTCAATATTTTTCACAATTTTATTTTATTTATTACTTGGATTAAAACTTTCTTCCGATGCTTTTGGTCGTGCCCAACAGGTACTAATTGAGATTCATTCTCCAGTATACTGACTTATATTCGAGTCTCCTTTACGAGTCTAATTCATGAGCAGTTTTTTTATGATCTGATCCTTTGGATTTTATTTGTGATATAAAATCACACTTTAATTATTTTATATGATAGTTATGATTAATATTATTATTATTATTGTTGTTGGACGATGGTAAAATATCGATTTACATTTAAAGTCGGGCCAGCCGACATTCTGCCGACAATCAGCTAGAGGCTAAGATACTTTCATGCTGATATCATACCATCGTCGCTGTCATTTAATTTACATGCATTTTTTTTAGTTTTTTTACTTCTTTTTCTCCTTAACTATATTATTATTATTAATGGTAGTTTTAATTAATTAATTTATCATGGTGAATATATATACACATAAATTTATATTTGGTTAAAAGCACGGCCTAATGTTGACGGTAGCGGATTTCACGGGTGAGCTCGCCACCAGGACTGCTGAAACTTTTCGTGAAGCTTTTTGCAAATACCCGCCAATTTCCGTCACATCCCAGGGTCCGCTGAGGCTGCCTCTTGATCACCGGGCTCGCCGGTAAAGTCTTCGTCATCTTCTGGGTTTTCGATTGTTTCATCTCCTTCTTCCAGCGTTACCTGGATAATTATTTTTATTATTATTTATTGATCAAAAGAAAATTTTTTTTAATTTTTGATAAAATTAATTAAAATTCTAATTCTATAAAATAAATTATTTATTGGACATTTGTCAATTTTTTTGACTTCTATAACAATTAAATTACTGGAGAAAAATTTGGGATTTTTTTTTTTATTAATTAAAATAGAACTAAAAAAATTTTATTTACAATTTTTTAAATTTTCTAAATGTTAAATTTATTTTTTCAATAAATAAACTATAAAAGTTTCTTAATTATGGCTAATTTAATTATCATCAAAAATTTTTTTAATTTTTAATAAAATAAATTAAATAAAATTCTAATTCTATTTAATAAATAAGTAATTAAAAAAAAAATTTACTGGACATTTGTCAATTTTTTTGATTTCTACAACAATTAAATTACTGTAGAAAAATTTTCTATTTTTTTTATTAATTAAATTAAAACTAAAAAAATTGTATTTATAATTTAAAAAATTTTCTACCTGTTAAATTTTTTTTTTTTTTAATAATTCTTCAATAAAATAAATTTTTTGTTCAATTTAATTATCATAAAAAATTTTTTATCTAAAAAAAAAAAATGCAAGCGCAAATAAAAAAAAAACAATTTTTTTTTAATAATTTATTTTTAAAAAAATAAAAAAAAATTTTTAAATGCCTGTATAATTAATTTACCTGAAAGTGAATTCTATCAGAGAGTTGTTCGCTTCCCTGCTGGTCGTCAGACGGCGGCGAGGGTGGAATCATGGACTGGTACCAATCACGGTTCTCTTCAAGCGTGTCAAGAATGTCCTGGGCATCCGGATGAACGAGGTCAGCCCAGGTTTCCCAAAGTGGATGGACGATGTAGTCAATAAAACCGACTTGTGACTTTTCAATAGTCGCGTTATGTCGGTCACACATCGGACTGATGTCCATATTTTGCTCCCGTTCCCGATCTCCTTGCTGGAAGAACTCCTCCATGAGGAGCGCGACCCACTTTCGGTAGAGCGGCAGCGGTTTTGTCGGGTTCGACAGGTCAGCGCAGTGTACCAGGTTCTCCAGCACCTGGATTCTGTCCGTGTAGTTGTCCAGCAGTAGGACACCTGAGCCAGCAACTTTCTTGGTTTCCACCATGGTCTTTAGATCAGCCAACAGCGACATGTGCTTGGACATGTCTGTTGACAGCACCATGTCGATCACCATCTTCCTCACAGTCTGTCGCTGCTTTTTCGTCATGTTTACGAATATGTCACAGCCCTCGTTCTGCAGGAGCTTGAAGGCTACCGCCAGGTGGTGGTTTTCCAATACTGACTCGTCGTTATACATCAGCGCTAGTTCTGAACCTGGTGAATTATTTTTAAAATTTATTTATATTATTAAGTGTCATTGCAAAGGTCTTGATTTTAATTTGTGCTTTTTCAAGGTTTTATATTATTCACACCGATAGTCAATTTATTATCATAAGTATTTAGACTGCATTCAAAAATGCTCTATCTCTAGATACATAATTAAGAAATGACCTTGTATCTTGTGAACTACTGACATTTTTAAAGATATAAGCTCATCCCGATGTTCCACTCATTAAGACTTTTCATTTGAGTACCCACATCAATTTTTTATATATTTCATATATTTATATATTTCACAAATACCATATATATATAAAATATATAAAAAATGCCATGTGGGTACTTAAATGAAAGGTCTCGATGAGTGTAATATCGGGATGAGCTTATATCTTAAAAAATGTCAATAATTAAGAAATTACCTTGTATCTTGTGAAATATCGACATTTTTAAAAATATGAGCTCATTCCGATGTTACACTTATCAAGAGCTTTCATTTAAATACCCACATCAATTTTTCATATATTTATATGTATTATATATATATGTATCTATGAAAAATATATCAAAATGCATGTGGGTACTCAAATGAAAGCTCTTGATGAGTGTAACATCAGGATGAGCTTATATCTTTAAAAACGTCAATATTTAAGAAAGTACAGCAATTTAACAAACGTTATTGTATAAAGCAAAATTTTAATTTTTTATAGTCGCATAGTGACTGCAGGTTGCTAGTTATAAAAATATTTTTTTTATAAAATAAAAACTAGGTCAATATATGACGTAGTTTAAATCATATAAAATCCAGGACTCATAAAAAAATTAAAAAGAAAAAAGGCAACCCTTTGTCTTATACATCAGTTCCTTCTCCAACAATATTAAATTTTTTATCTAAATTTATTGCAGAATAAAGTTTTCAGTCATAAAGCTTTGACCGATTGCGAGCGTGAAAAAAAAGGCATACTTTTTTATCAGCAAGATACAACTAACAACTGGGTATGACGTAAAGCATAAAACCGATGGAAGAAAAATAAAAATAAAAATAAAAAAAGGAAAAAGGCGGATGATACTCACTGGAGTTGATGAGGAACTGATTGGTAAGACCTGGATGATCTACGTCATGAATAGTCGCCGCGAACAAGGCTGCCATGATCTCGAGCGGCGTGAAGACGGACTGGAACAAACAGGGGATTAATAACAATCACAACAGATTTATGTGTGTATTATTGGACAGGTTGGGTGTTGAGTATGTATAGTAGAAGGCCGCGATCGATTGAGACGTGTTGTTATTGTATATGTTACAGGTATGTACCTCAAGCGCGGGCGTATTGAGCAGCGTGTGCGTCGACTGTGTTACGTCGGCCGCGTGAAGGCTGTTATGGAAGGGATTGTCCTTGACATAGTGATCCTCGAGAGTCATCATGAAGGTAACAAAAGTCTTGGGCGGTATTGCCAGTGATTTGAGCAAGTCGCGGCTCTGGAATGCCGTGTAGGCTACGCAGGTCAACGGTCTGTTGTTACTCAGCTCGGCTATCCTGAATATGTCGATGCCCCACTTGTCGACCTCTGACAGCACCTGGAATCAGAGCAATTCCCAAAGTCAATGTTTATTCATCCATCAATCGGTCATTCTCTATTTTCAATCATCACTCGTTAATTAAATCACGTTTGCAATTCAACGTCCAAAAGCTATTTGATAATTAAGTGGTGCGTCGGATTTTTTATCAGCTCTTTTTTTGGTCAATCACTGTCGAGTGGTTTGGAGTTATTTTTTTTTTTTTTTTTTGGGATTGAATAATTGAAACCACAATTTAATTATAAAAAATTAATTATTGAACCGAGGAATAATCTTCTTTTTTTATTGGAGAAATATTTAAAATTTATAAGATCTATTTTTTTGCTATGTAGACTTTTAATTAAAATATATAATAACTTGTAAATAATAAATCTTAAGTTTTTCAATGAAAAAGAGGAAATTAAAAATTTATCTGTTAGTTTATCAATTTTTTTTTTTTAATTAAGATAAAATTAAAATTTTAAAGAAAGAAAATTAATATTTTTTTTTAATAAAGATAGAAAAAATTAAAATTTTAAATAATGAAAATTAATATCAAAAATTTTTTTTTGTAATTAGAATGAAAAAATTGAAATTTTTTTTTAAATAAAGATAAAAAAATTAAAATTTCAAATAAAAATAATTAAGATAAAAAATTCTTTTTTTAATTAAGATGAAAAAATTAAAATATTGTATAATGAAAATTAATTTTTAATTTTTTTTTTTTTTTAAGATGAAAAATTAAAATTTTATATGACAATTAGGATTTGAAATTTTATTTTTTTATTAAAGACAAAAAAATTGAAATTTTAAATAACGAATATTAATATCAAATTTTTGTTAAATAAAAATGAAAAATAAAAATTTTAAATAATGAAAATTAAAATCAAAAAAATTTTTTTTAATTAAGATAAAAAAATTAAAATTTTGTATGATGAAAATTAATTCAAATTTGTTTTTAAATAAAGATGAAGAAATCAAAATTTTAAATAACGAAAATTAATATCAAAAGTTTTGTTAATAAAATTGTAATTGTAAACTAATTTTTTTTTTTCAGCAAAATAAATGCAAAAAAGGATAATTTGTATGCTTTAATAAAATCAGAGGACTGATTAGTACCCAGAGAGCAATGACACAGGTAATTCCAAATAGAAGGGAATTAAATGGGATGAAATGATATGAAAGAGAAGGAAGTTTTTGCTGATAAGAGCAGCGATTCAGCCCGAACTGTATATATATAATACGAGTAATATCTAGCCGTAAATTTGATTGAGAGTTGCTCTCGAGCGGTTGGAGGTTTGACGAAGGTCTGATTGAGATCATTAAGGAGTTCGGATCCAGTTGAAGAACTTTTTTCAGGTCTCTCATTTAGATGAAGACACACTTGACGTGATGGAAATCAGGAGTGACGTTCGAGTGCTTGTGACGCATTATAACTATTATTATTGTAGGTTTAGTTTACCTTGCCGAGCTCTTCGTCGTGGGGAGTTTCCACTCCGTAGACAGGTACTCGCTCGCCGGTGAAACTGTTTGTGTGGGTCAATGGACGCTTCACTCCGCTGATGTGGGACATGGCGGCTGGCCCTCTCTGAGCTCGCTCTTTCTTCTTCGCGGATCGCGAATCCCCGGATCCGCTTGTTGATGCCACATCTTCGATTCGCAACGACGGTAGATCCAACTCTTGCTGCTTGTCTGTATTTTATTAAATTAATTACATCATTTTTGAAATTAAATAATTGAAAATAAATTTTTTTCATAAAAATATTTGATATTTTATTAATAATTTTAATTTTAATAAATTAAAAAATATTTATTTATTCAAATTAGTATCTCTGAATATTTATTAATTCAAAACAATATTATCAAACATTTATGAATATTTATAATATAAAAATAATACCTCTGAGCATTTAGTAAAATAAATAAATTCAAAATATTAATTTTCAAAATTTACAAGCATTTTTTTATTCAAATTAATCTCTTTGAATATTGAACCGTTTATTAATTTAAAAAATTCTTGAATGTTATAAATATTTAATAATTCAAAATAATACAATCAATTATTTATTATGTAAAAAAATTTTTTTTTTTATTTTAAAAAAAGGCAATTTTTTGAAAACATTTGCTGAATTTTAATATCAATTTATTAAAAATTTTTTTGTTTAATTAATATTAAATTACTACAAGTTAAACGACTGTAAGAGTAAAATTTCATTGAAATGGACTTAGAATAAATATTTTTTGGTGTAAAAATATGGAAACATGTAAATTGAAGCTTTTTTTTCTCAGCTTTTAGATGCATTTTACAAAATTCAAATATCTTGAAAAGTTATTTAAAGAAAAAGCAGTAAAAAAATTGTAATTTTTTAATTTTTAAAAATATAAAGTGCTGTAATTTTTAAACTAATTGTCCAATTGAGCTCAAATTTAAACTTGACCTTTGTAATTGTCTATAGAATAAGTATGTTGAGTTTCATTAAGATCGCTTAATAATTGTAGACGCTATCGTGCTAACAAGCCGTGTTATATTTTATGGATATATAAATACATACAAACAATTAAATAATTTTATTAAAAAAAAACTCATATTTTTTTAAATATTAATTCTAAATTAAAAATAGTTTTATAAAAAAAAAACTCACCCAAGAAAGTAGTGCAGATGTACTCAGATATTTGATTACCAGATTTGGAAGACTCTGAGAAGTGCGAAAGCTCTTTGTTAAGCATTCTCTTGAACTAAAACCATAAAAAACAAAGACTTTAAAATACCATCTTAAATAAAAATATTATTTTTATTACTTTCGATAAAAATAACAGACTATTTTCGAGACTCGCTCATCCAAAATCCGATCAAAGATCACTTATGCAAATACACCAGCTGTTGCTGGCAGACGCCGGCACGCGTTCGGAAAAAATAAACCCGCTTCTATTCCTTACTACGTCTCAATCTTAAACTTTAAGAGTAGAGCCAATAAAGTTCAATCGACAATAATCCCATTTAAAGAATAAGAAAACTAAAACTACGGTACTAGCGTAGGGCTCGTACGCTCCAGACGTCATCACAATGCCCTCTTGGTCAACTGACCTACTTATTTGGGAAAAGGTCGCTACTGAAATCCCTCAAAAATACTCAAAAATTTGATTAATTCCAAAAATATCTTCTTGATAATTAATAAGTAAATTTTTAATTTTTGGTAATTATTTACAAGAGGAGTAACACGCTATTTTTGGCCATATTTAGGTGAAAAATTAAAATTTTTCAATTTTTTATTTTTCTTCTTTTTACGGCGGATTTTTATTTGCTAAAAAAAATTAATATTTTGATAGCTTTTTTTGTCTTCAAAAGTTGGAAAAAATTTGGCTCAAATTTTGACTAAAAAAAGTACATAAAAAAATGAACAATTTAACAAAAAAAAAGTAGAATATCACAACTTTTTTTTAAATTTATAAATTTTTTTGAAAATTTCTTAAAATTGTGGTGAGTAATTTTTTTTTTGTTCATCTTTTTATGCATTTTCAAAAAAAAAAAAATATATCAAAATTATGTTCAAAAAACTGAAACTTAAAATAATGAACTGCACTTGAAAATAATTACCAAATATCTTTTTGATAATTAATAACCAAATTTCCAATTTTTTAATCTAAATTTTTAGTGATTATAAATTATCAATTACTAAAAAAATCTATCTTCTCTTTACAGATGCTATTTATTGTATATAAACATTACTAAACATTCTACACATAAAAATGTAACGTCTTGTAAATTGCTAAGGGCGTTTCTTTATAAATAAATAAAGAAATTTTAACTATAAAATTATATTGTGGGTTTTTCAAAATATAATTAATTACCTTGAGAGAAGCCATGTCCGAAACAGACCGGTGAGTTTGAATGGTCTCCAATTGATCTAAGCACCAGTCAAGTTCCTCCATTGTCTCCACAGCCATTTTCATGTAGGTTTCATCTAAAAGTTATAATTGTTAATTAATACCCCTCAATAACCAGAGTTTAACTTCCCTAGTTTCGAGTTCCTAGTTTAGTGTCCAAAGTCTTGTGTTATGCCCCTTGTTTCGTCAGCGTGTCTATACATGTCTACCGAGTAACAATGATTCGATGTACATGTCTATGTGTTTATTATACAAATGATGTAATAGCAGAATCTAGTGGATAATAACAATAACGACAATGACTAAACTCTAAACTCGGCATCGGGAAACTAGTGGCAACTAATTATGGTAGCAAAACTTACCTCCCGGTGCCAGAACACGTGGTTGTGGTGTATTACTTCCTTGTGCCCCACTGCTTCTACGTGATCTGTAACGAAGTTTCAGGTTATTTTGGTTATTAGTTAATATTAGTTATTAGTTGTACTACGCAGATTACTGTCATTAGTTATTGTTATTAGTTATTATCTATCATTTAAATCTTATAATCCGATTTCGTTTTTATCTATGTTTAGCGCGTAGGATTTACGTCAAGTGTACTATTATTGGATTCCTTTTTTAGATATAATTGAATATTTATTATTTTATAAATAATTAAAAGTTATAAAATTTTATTTGTTGAAAAAAAAAATTTTTTTAATTAATTATTTTTTTTTTTTTTTATTTATTTATTGCATTAAACATATACATATTTGTTTTTAGTTATTAATTAATTATAATTTTATTTTATAAGTTAAATTTATAATCAATATTTTATTATTTTTTTGCAGTACTTCAAAATATTTTTAATTTATTATTATTGTCTATGTTATTAAGAGAATAAGCGAAATTTTGTGGCCAGTGTATTTATATGATAAAATGGGTTTTTATGGGTAAATTTGGTATCATTGGAAAGGTCGAGACCTGAAGTTGTGCCTTTTCAATGTTTCATATGCTTTTCTAAAATAGTTTATTTATTATGATAAGTTTTCGAAGTAGTTATAAATAGATTCGAATTTAGCGATAAACAAAATTTGTTTATTTATTTATTTTGTTTTGTACTCATCAATGTGGTTATATGTCAAAAATTAATTTATGTAATTAAAAGACTAAGAAAAATTTAGTAAAGGGTATATCTTTATCGTAAATATTGGGTTTGATATTTTTTAGAGATAGTTATTTATGATTTAAATAATTGAGAGAGAAAGGAAAATTTTTTGACGAGCCTATTATTATTTTTAAAGAAATTTTTATAGTTTAATTTGGTATCATCAGAAAGGTCGAGATAAGAATTAGTGTTTTTTGGTTTTATATATTTTTTTGTCAAGTTTTTGGAGGAGTTTTTAATAGTTTTTTTGATTGTATAAATTTGTACGGTCACATTTGTCCATTAAATTATTTGTAATTGATCCTGTGATAGTACTATTATTTTCAAAATTTATTTAAAAAGTCCCCAAACTATTAGTGTGATTATAAAAAAACCATTGATCAAAAATTTTCTTATTCATAAATTGTAAATCTCGGCAGTCGCGTAGCGACTGCAGTTTACTAGTTATTATTACAATTATAATTATTATTATAAGACTTACTTGTTTGTTGGTACATTGGTGAGCGATAGGAAATTATTTCTAACGGATCGTAACGAGGCAAGTATCTGGGCAAACGGGGTAACGATAAGATCTTCGCCATGACTGTAAAATAATTATACACATAAAATAAATTATTCATATAAATTAAAAAAAAAATTATTATTTCTCATTTAAAAGTAACGCTAATAAATGAAGCTTTGATGCGTTTACTTTTAATTAAAAATTTTATTCAAAAGGTCGGGAAAATTTAAACCCCAAAAAAATAAAAAAGTAAAGGCAATTTGTAGCTTCCATTTATTGACGTTTTGCAAGTGGAATATATATTCATTATTATTATTACTTCTGTATATTGGAGCATAAATTTCTACATGTACATATATTTTAATTAAAATATATTTACATTGAGGCGATGAAAAAAAAATGAGTGTAAATTCGGATTGCACTTTATGAGCTAATTGCGTTGCAATAATAGTAAGGATAATCATGCATCATGACTGCGATAGATCGTAGCAATAATTAATAAATATAAAGCAATATGGTCACTTAACTCTCTACAAGTATAAGTACTTATATATACAATCCACAATATTAATGAGCAAGCAGCGGAATAAGACCTTGTATTTTTATTTTCAATTTGTATCGAACAAGCTTACACATTTTTTTAGAACTTTTATTATTATTTCCATTAATTATTTTTTAATTTTTAATTTAATCACCGCAAGAAACTCGACAACTTGCCGTTAGAAGCTGTTTTTATTCACTCCTTTACTGAAAGTAAATAATCTCGGGAAAATAACCTGCATTAATTTAAATAGTTTCTAAAAAAATTCATTTTTATAATTAATTTCAATAAAAAAATTCCAAGTAGTTTTCCGTGCAATAATTAATTATTATAAAAAAGTGTTGATGTTCAGTAAAATTTCTAAAAAATAGTTTCAAAGTTTTTCTTTTCAACTAAATTAACAATTTAATAAAGTTTTAAATAGTTAAACATTTAAAAGTTCTCTTTTATAAACTTAGTATAACTTTTTTTTTAATATGTTTTTTGTAAAATTATTCTTTTGATCCGCTTTGATATATTCGCTCATCTAAAATTCAAATTTGTTTTCTAAATATTTACTTTTAAACTTTCAATACAAAATCAATAGAGCTAAAAAAATAGTTTGTTACTTTTTTATTTCAATGAAACTTATTAAAAATTCAGACAATTATAAAGTTAAAAATTCTTTTCAATTACAATTATTATTAATTTTATTTTAAAAAATTTTTTTAAATGAATTATTAATTAGAAAAATTATCTTTTGCATAATAATTAATTTTAAAAATTATCTTTTATAAAATAATTAATTTTATAAAATAATTAATAATAAAATAAATAATAAAAAAAAAAAATATTTAGTGAGTTATTGTGAATAATTCTCAACAATTCTTTGAAAATTAATAAAATTCTAAGAATCTAAGTAGAATTGCGCAACTATAAATATTAAATAGCTAAACCGAAGAAAAAAATTACAAAGAATAAAATAAAAATTCCGAATAAAATAATATTTAATAATATATCTTTTGATATAATATGTTCTATGCCGACAAGGGCAAAGATTAAGGATAAAAGGAAAAAGTCAAAGGTTAGGGTTAACTTACTAATCACGTTTGGTAGGTGAAGCAAAGCACTGTTGCTCCCAAAACACAGCCCTTCTGGGAGGCCTGGACCTTAGCGCCGACATGGAGTGTGTCCGCGGTAATCCCGCGACAGCCCCCGCTAAATTGCCAACCATCCCGACAACTCTTGCCACAGTAGCGTCATCGGTCCCCCCCAGGGCAGGGGAGCTCATTCCTCCCCCGCATCTTTTCAAGCCGCCCGGATAAAAAATCAAGTCCTCGAGCCCTATCTCCGAGATTTTTTTTCCATCCTCCCCCTCACTTACATCGCCCATTGTTACGCTCACAAATAACTAACATCGATCATTAATGATTATAATTTATGAATTAATCAATGCTATGCAAATTGAGAAAAGTACTCGGAGCATATTATATTAACAGAGTCGCAAATTGGATGAGATCTTATTTGATCACATAATCAAATAATTTAAGTGATTAACTCGCCCACATGCACATCCAGAACACAGGATTACTTGTATATGGTCTAATAATCCTCTTTGTGTTTCACAGTAGGTATAGTACTCACTCTTATTATTTTTTTTTTTAAATATTTTAAATTAATGTCATGAAGTTTTGGTATTACCATAATTAATTTTTATATTTTTACGTCTCATTGTGACCCAGCAAAAGTTACTACAAAAAAAAATAAAAAAATGTTTTTTAAATCAAGTATTATATTTAATTTTTAATTTAATATTCTTGATTTAAGGAAATTTTACTTGATTTAAGAATTTTTCTCTTAAATCAAGTTAACTTTTTTTTTTCAGTGTAATTATTAATTAAATTAAATGTAATGAATCCCAAAGTGTAAAGTGTAAGTGTAAATAAGTAAATAAACAAAGATAGTTAAGAATTTGGGAGTTTAACTCCCATGAAAAAAATATGTTGAAATACATAAAAAATATATTAAAAATCTACAAAAAATATATATAAATTATGTATAGTAAATATATTTTTAATAACTAATTTTTGGCCAATTTTTATAGATATTTTATATATTTTAGATATATTCAAAATATATATATTTTTTTTTTTAATTTTTAGCTATGTATTTTTTATGTATTAAAACATTAAAAATTTAAGAATTTAATTTTTTAATTTAAGAATTAAAATATATGTTATGCAGACAATAAGAGAGATTTTAATTATATGTTTTTACCAAGTTAATTTCTAAGCCGTCAGGGTGAAATAAATAATAAATAATTAAATAATAAAAAAAAATTACTAAATTATCATTTGAATTTTTTTTTTAGACAATTCTCAAGTTGTTTGCTCATAACTTTAAAATCTTTTTGTTATAAGTTTTCTTAAAAGTTATTCTTATGCTGCACTAACTACTTGGCGCTATTATGAGGTACGTGTCTTTGTGTATATTTAGAAGTCGAGGGATAGAAATCATTACGAACACGGCCACCCCAGTGTTGTAGCATGACCTAGTCTTAATAAATTTTTCTTTAAATATAAATAACAACACTAACTCATATTTACACCCATAATAATAAATAATATCCAGTTAAATAATTAAAAACTCAAAAGAAACTCTTTTTAAAAGATTTATAAACAAATCAATAAATTTTTCACTCGCGTCATATCCTTCCTCAATAATTAATAACGATTAATGATTAATGATTCACTCATCGTCATTTAACTTTCAATTTTATTTTCATTTTTAAAAATTATTTAGTGTTTTTAGTTTACAAACTGACTTTGAGCACTTGAAACTTTTTATCCGACACATGTTCAAATTTTTTGAATTTGAATTTTAATTAGAGCGGGAATAAATTCAAAGTGATGTAAATTTTAAATTAATTGTCATTGTTGTTTTTCGATTTGATCGAAACTCACGCGAGTCACGTCGCGGATTTCAACGTCGCCATATCGACGGGTGCCGTTACCGTTCACCACGATGTCCAACTGCCCGGGGTCTTCCGGTTTCGCGGGGGATTCGCGATATTATTCCCTCGTGGTGGGGGAGACGGCACCGTGTTATGTGCTGTGTCGTAGACGTGATTTGCGCGGGAAACATGCGCATCGGGAGTATTTAACATCGCTGTCTAAACTTCGCGCCCTTTCGTTACAGCTCGGACCCTTTCGTGACATAACAGAATATCGCTGTCGTATCTAACTAATATTCTTCACTAAAATTACGGTAGTGAATTTTTATAATGGACATTTTTTTGTGTTAAAAATAGAATTAATTTTTTTTTTAACAAATAATTAATTTTGAAAAATTAATTAATTGAATAGTTAATATTATTTTTTTTTAGCAATAGAACTAATTTTCAGATTTTTACTGATTTTAAAATTAAAATTTTTAAAAATTAATTATTGACAAATTTTTTAAAAATTTAACTTATAAAATTTTTTTATAATTATTTAATTAATTTATAAAAAGAAAAATTATCAATTCTATAATTTTATTTTTTTTTTTTTAGAGATAGAATTTTAATTTCAAGATTTTTACTGATTTTAAAATTAAAATTTTTAAAAATTAATTATTGACAAATTTTTTAAAAATTTAACTTATAAAATTTTTTTATAATTATTTAATTAATTTATAAAAAGAAAAATTATTAATTTTATTTTTTTTTTTTTAGAGATAGAATTTTAATTTCAAGATTTTTACTGATTTTAAAATTAAAATTCTTAAAAATTAATTATTGACCAATTTATTACAAATTTAACTTATGAAATATTTTATTATTTAAATATTAAAACTTTTTTATAATTATAAAATTTATTTATAAAAGAAAAAAATAGTTAAAATTATTTTTTTTATTATTAATATTAAAATGAATTATAAAAAAAATAAAATTTTAAAAATGAATTTTTTTCTTGAATTCAATTAATTTTTCTTAGTACAAAAGTTAATATCTCTTTAAATAATGAATAATTGTTTAAAAAATTTTTTCTAAATTTTAAAAGTTAAAATTTTGATAGTAAAAAAATATTTCACAAAGTCACAGATACTAAAATATCCATGAGATGATAAAGATAAATCCACAAGTGAAGATAATTTTTTTTATGTCTGTACTCTCCACTACTCTTTCAACGAATCTGTTAATATTGATTTTCACGAATTGGCAAGGTTCCAGTTCACTTCGCATGCTCCAAGTACTTGCTTAAGAATCTGTGAGAATCGACAAGTTATCGAGTTTATTTACAGTCACTATTGTTTATATTTATCACGATTATTCATGAAATGGATCATGTCCGAAATAACTACTTACTACTTGCTCTATTCACAGAACAACCTGTTTACATTTTTATTAATAATTATTGCAGCTCGTAAATCTCTTGAAAATTTTTCTCAATGGAAGCTTTAGAAATGAAAAAGTTAAAATTAATATCTAGACCAAGCCGGCGTAATTAAGCTCCAAATAATTAATTAACTCAACAGTTCACGAAGCACACTCTGACCCTCGAGAAACGTGATAACAATTTTAAATATACTTTTAATTATTACAAATAACTATATTTTATATTTTTTCACGCTTATAAATTATTAATGCCGTAAATAGCGAAAAAAAATTTATTAAAATTTCAAATCTCAGGGTTTTATTGAGCTATTTACTTTTTTTGGTACTTAATGCTAAATATTCGCAATAATTTACTTTTTTTTCGTCCAATTATTTATGGAATGTTTTGTTGTAAGCTGCAAGACACGTTCTCATATTTTTTATCTAATATCTCTCATTATATTAATTATCTTGCGTAATAATCATACTTTATTTTATTTCTTTTTCATTAGATCAAAAATAATTAGTAAATTTCTTTAATTATTTAAATTTCTTCATTAATATTTTAAAAATTATCAACATTTTATTTTTTACAAAAATATAAATTAACCTAATAATTAGATCTTAAAAAAAAAAAAATAAAATTGAATGTGAAATTAAAATACCGGATATGCAAATTTCTTATATGAGAAGATTATTATTATTATTATTAAATCTAACAATACTCTAGACTTTTTGAAGCTGTAAAACATTTAAAACCCGTCATAAAAATTTTCAATTTAAAAAAAATGATTAACTTTAGTTGAATTTTTTTAATTTTTCAACGGAAATTGAATTTCACTCTGTTCTTCAAACTAAAATAAGGTCACGTGTAATAGACACTAGCTAACTTGTTACATGAACTGTTTTTTATATTTTAGTTGTCAAAAACAGTTTTCCCCTTTATATTTCAACGAGTCATTTTTTCAATTATTTTTTTCATAAATTACCTACGAGCATTCGTTTGTTCTATTACACTGATAGAAAAATAACCCTGATTTAAAAACCATGTTTTTTTCAAAAGTTGATTTTTGTTTCAAAATTTCTAGCTGTGTTAATTTAAGAAATAAACTTTTGAGACTAGATGTAGATATATTTCATTCAAGAATTTTTGTCTCTTGGTTCAAGATAGGCGATAACATGATCCAAGATATTACCGAGTTGTGTTAAGAATGGCTTTTTTTTTTAATTAATTTACTATGTGAATTTAGATAAATTTATGTAATAATATTACTATATTTTCACAATTATGTTAAATCAAAAATCTATAAAAAATTTTTTTTACTTCAATAACATCTTGAATGAAGAAATTATTAGTTCAATCAAAAATTTTAAGTTCTTTAAACGATAATGTTATTTTGGTTGAAAAATTTAAATGTATCGATTAAAGATAATATAGTTTTGAGTAAAGATACAAGACTTATTAAACTGAGAGACATACATTTCAAGAATAAAATTTTTGACTATTTGTTTAACCTTGATGTATAAAGAGAGTTCATAAATGTTTATAAGATTGTTAGAGAAATCGAAATCATAATTATTTTATAAAATCGAAATCAGAGTACTTATAATATCTGTAAATTATTATTATTAATATTTTTAAATTTGTAATAAATTGTATTTCTTATTTTTACTTGCCTTGTAAATTATTGTTATTAATATTTTAAATTTGTAATTAATTGTATTTTTGTTATTTTTACTTGCCATTTGACCAGCAGGCTTATTATAATCTAATAAAAACAATCTAATATAAATCCACACACAGAAAAATATTCCAAATTTTCATTTGTAAAATAATCTAAAATCATCTTTTACTTTACTTAACTACGTGTACTTAAATACAATTGAAATTTATACTTTGCCATTAGGCTATTGCCTTGGTATTAGCTATAAATAAATAAATAAATAGAGTATAATTATCTCTTATCGATACTGGAAGGGTAACGATACTAAGTTCGAGTTACCGAGAATCCACTATATTATTAATATATATTTAA